GATAATAGATGCGTTAGAATTCCAATAATACGTATAGGTAGGTACCTAGCAATTTGTATACAAATAAATCTATAGATGTAGATCAAAGTAATAAATGAGCATGTTTGTCGTATCAAAGCCAAATTACAACTAAATGTTTGATTGCGTTGTGGGGATTAAAATTATTTTTATCAGCAAAAACAAAAAAAGGGTGAGTCAGACTTGCGCGATAAACATATTACGTGAAGGGTGACAAATTTTAATTATAGATATATTTGTTATTTATTAATACTCAAATAATTTCGATTATACAGTTTCCCAAAAATTACGCACCATTTTGAGTTATTAGGGTTTAAAAATGTAATTTAATTTGTGTTATTTTCTAAAGACGTTTTGAAAATAAAAACTTAAATAAGAATCATTTTTATATGTATACTTTTTATACTTATTGCAACCATGGTTGATATTTTTGTTGAAAATATTTAACTCAAAAATTATAGATATATACAGTGTGACCCATTTGTTTGCGACTCACCCCTGTAAAATCTTTATTTATTGTGCGACTTTAACCGGATTTGTTTTAAAGTGTAGATAAACTGTATTTTTGGAGCAAAAAACGCCATATTTGTACAAAATACTATACTACTATGTCAGTTTTTGGTAAATTTTTAAGAATTCATATTAGCGATTTTTTTGAACAAAATCTAAGCACGGCACTGGATTCACCACCCCTCAAATCGACCCTACATTATATTTTATTGAAAAATTTTAAGTAGAAAAATGCACAATAATAACTACAAAATTTTATTCTGTCAAGTTATCCATGAAAAAACATGGAAATAAAATTAAACTAATAGTAACATGGCAGAGCTGCAAGCTCTCAGAAAACTTAAATCGTTTTTTTGATTTAAATCGTTTTAATGACTTAAGTCATTTGGTAATAAGTCATTTCTCTAAACCTGACTTAAGACTTAAAATTTAAGTAATTTTCAAAATGATTTGTGACTTAAATATTTTTTCAAAATAGAAAAAACTTAAGTCATTAATAAAAGGCTTAAATCAGTACATACGATTTAAGTCAGATAGAAACGATTTAAGTCAAAAAAAGAATTAAGTCTTTTTAAAAGTCGGTAAATTATTTAAGTAATTTAAAAAGATTTAAGTCTTTTTAAAAAAGATTTAAGTCTTTTTAGAAAATATTTAAGTCAGATTTTTCATATATTTTTTGTAAATTTTTAACAGCGGCATTTTCTTTTGAACTGCCAGGGGTTCACGCGGCAGCAGATCAAAAACTCCTTTAATTTCCTACCTACAATTGCTACCGCTAGTAAATAAAAAAACCGCCGCGGTAAAGTTAGCTTTTCGAAACCGTTTGACGGCTACATTAAAAAGTGTCCTGTCTAAAATGAATGAAAAAAAAAGTGGGAATTTATAATTTTGTTATTTTGTTTGCTAACATTCGTCGTATTATGCGTGCAGTTAGGTCTAATTTGTGATTATTAGTGCAAAGTGGAAACAAACGATTAACAGGTAAGGACGAATAAATATTATAAAGAAGTGTTTATATCATACAGGGTGTTTCGGTTTGTTTAAGTAAATAATTACGACAGAAAAACGTGATTGTGCGTGAATAAAATTATTCAAACGTGATTGTGCGTGAACGTGAGTAGTCTTAAATTATTACAGTCGTGAGTGGTCGTAAATCGTGAAGAATCGTGAATCGGGAGTAGTCGGGAGCGGTAGTGAGCAGTCGTAAATCTTGAGCGGTCGTGAATGGAGAGTTTGGAACCTCCCATCATTACTCCCTTAAGGGAGGAATATTTTTTTTCTAGATGGATGTTGAACCAGCTACAAAAGTTAACAAAACAACAAGTTATCAGATTTTGAACTACAGCGATTTTAAGAAAAATGCTTCAACTTTTATCTATTTTAACAGAGTTTCTTAAGAGAGTTTTTTAACAGAGTTCTTAACAGAGTTTTTTAACAGAATCTATTATCGTTTAAAAGTTACCCATTTATGTATATAAAAAAGTACCCTCCCTGTATGTCCACTCTACTAAAAAATGTGTTTTAAGTTTTTATTTTGTTTGTAAGTGAAAATAAATCGTTTTAAATTCTTAACTTGGTGGTTTATTATTATCTGTATTCACAATAGATTAATAATATCAGTATCATTAATACCATAAAATTATTATTAACATTTAAAAATCGTTGTATTGACTTAAGGGTAATTATTTTGATTTAAATGACAATTTTTGATTCAAGTCATTTTATTGACTTAACTCTTAGATCACGATTTAAATAAAAAATATAGACTTAAGTCATAAAAACGACTTACTAAAGGAATTAAGTCATAAGATGACTTAAATCACTTTATATTGATTTAAGAATTTGCGAAAATGACTTGACTTGAAAGAAAATGATTTAATTCAAAGACTTAATACTTAAATCATTTGAACTTTTACTTGGAATTGACTTAAGATTTAAATCATTTTGATTTTAGAATTGACTTAAGACTTAAGATTTAAGTCTTTTTAAAACTGACTTGTTGCAGCTCTGTAACATGGTACTATTACTTGCTTAGATTTTGTTTAAGAAATCGCTAATATGAATTATTAAAAATTTACTCTAAAAAACTGAAACAGTAGGCCTTGCATTTTGTACTAATATAGCGTATTTTGCTCCAAAAATACAGTTTACCAAGATCTACACTTTAAGACAAATCCTGTTAAAATCGCACAATAAATAAAGATTTTACAGATGTGAGTTGCAAACAAATGGGCCACACTGTATATATTTATATATATATATATGTATATTGATTTTAAACAACAAAAAACTATTTAAATTTTCTAAAGGTTAAAATCAAAGGCGATTTTATAAATAAAAGTAGACTAAGCAAGTTTGAAGAAATTTAGTTAAAAAAACTTAAAAATTAGCGAATAAATACCTAGGTACCTACTTTTATTTTAGTAAAAAAAATTTAAAAATAATAAATTGGTACTTGCCAAATTTATTGATGAGTTCTGGTTAAATCCCATTATCCTTATATATTGGTTGTCTTATTTCTTAATAGCCATGGCTTTAAAATGTTGGTCCTAGAAAAAAATACAATTAGACCATTTAAGGACTGCAACTTTTATTTTTTTAAATATTAAAAATATTTGTGTTATTATTTGACCTAATAGATGCGTTAGAATTCTAATAATACCTAGCAATTTGTTGATGTAGATAAGAGTAATGAGCATGTTCGTCGCATAAAATCCAAATTCCAACTGAACGCTTGATTACGTTGTAGGGATTATAATTATTAACAAAAACAACCAAAAAAGAGGGTGAGTCAGACCTGCGCGATAAACATATTACGTTAAGCGTGACGAATTTCAGTTGGCAAGAGTGGTCCCCAGGAAACAAAAAGTTAGCAGCACTGGAGAGAAAACGATGCGTTTACAGATTTATAGATTGCCTTCCTTCCTTCCTCCTGTAAAAGATGAACAATACGAAAACCGTAGTGCTGTTTATAGATTCCCGGAAATACTAAATATGTTTAGTAATTTTAAAATGGTGAATTATTACAATACAAATATTGTTATTTTGTACAATAAATTACACCAAAAATATTTAGTAATTTACGAATGATGGTATTGTAATTACACTACAAAAAAAACATGCAATTTTCTAAGGGGAGTACGCATACGAAGACCCAGAATATGAAACTACCTACCTTTTGGTATTTGGCTTATTGTTGTGGTGTCAGTGAAATTTTATATTTCCTATCCTATATACATTTTTCGACGCGGACGACGATAACATTAAATTTTCCATATTTCTCTGCCATAAACCAAACATTATATTTCTTATAACTGTTATATTTATTTTTTATTTGTGTTCTCTGCTGCGCCGAAAATAAAGTTTGTCAATTGTGAGTAAATCACAAATAATAACCTTGCGTAACCATTGTCACTTTCTGCTGCTACTGAGGCGCGTTCCAATTTCACTGTGCGTCAGTACTGAATAAATTACGGAACGGTCCTTTTCCGCTACTGACAGTAAAATTACTGACAGTAATGGCAGTAAATTACGGAACACAGCCATAATTTTTTGTAGATACATAACCTTATTTTTGTACTAGCGTCGAATTTTAACCTTTCTGAAACTATAAATGTCAAATTTTGACATTTTGATTTTATTTCTGTTTTATTTGTTTTTTTTTGTAGTTTTCTCTTATTTTTTCAATATCGTTAAATTTGTCATTTTAATAACCTATAAACGTCAAAACTTGACATTTTCATTTATTTTCTGTTTTTTCTTGTATTTTTCTAAATTTAAATTTAATAATTCAACGTCCATTGCCATTTTATTAACCTATAAACGTCAAAATTTGACAATTTCCATAATTTTCTATTTTAATTTATTTTTGGGAGATACATACATAACCTCGTTTTTCTTCTAACGTCGAATTTTAACTCAATTTAATCTCAACTGTAATTTTTATAACTTATAAACGTAAAAATTTGATATTTCCATAATTTTTTGGAGATACATAACCTTATTTTATACTAACGTCAAATTTTAAAATTAACTGAACCTATAAACGTTAAAATCTGACATTTTTCATGGTTTTTACAATACATAACCTTAATTTTCTACTAACGTCAAATGTTGACGTTGACTTAACCTCAACTGTAAATTTTTAGATTTTTGCAGCTATATAAACTATCAACGACAAATTTGAACACCTTAACTGTCATTTTAAATCTATGAATGTCAAAATTTGACGTTTTCCAATTTTTTTCATTTATTGCTTTTTCAACCAACTTAAAATTTAGGAACTAACCTTGTCTGTCATTTTTATAAACTATGAACGTGAAAATTTGACATTTTTTTAATATTTTGACATATGTGCTTTTAAGGTTAAATTTTGACAGTTTCGTAACCTCAACTGTCATTTTTATAACCTATAAACGTCAAACGTGACATTTTCCCGCCACAATGACAAAACGTCACTTTTGTCGTTTCAGAGTGTGGGACTGCCGGAACTGGGAATGCGAGCGTTGGACAGTGTTGTCGGGTCGCGTGCAGTCCGGTTGTTGGGCGGACAACGGCAACAGCCTGCTGTTCGCGACCAACAACGACCCGGTCATATACAGCGTGATCGTCAAATCCGACCTGATATTCGCCAAGGACGTGGAAAATGCGTCGAACAAGGCCGCGGCGATTTTCGACGTCGCGAAAGTCGACATCGACGGGGTCATGGTGGGGGGGCTGGTGCAGTCGATGGAGAGCGACCCTAAGGGCCGGCAACTGGCCGTCATCTACCAGGAGACGAACTGCGTTACCGTGTTTAACGTTGTGAGGCAGGCTGGGCTTCAACTGATACCAAGGTAAGTGCTGGTGTTGAAAAAAAAAATTTTTTTTTTTACTATTTCCTTTATTTTTTTTTCTATTTTGTGACTTAAAACATCAAAAGTACACTTTTTTAGTTCCTTGGTGGTTGGTTTGCCGGAAGAGAGGCCCAGTAGCGTGAGTTTCCAGCAGAATTTCGAAAGTGGTTCGTGTCTGACCATTGGCTGGTCCAGTGGGCGTGTCCAGTATTATCCAATCATATACACGGATTTGAATCACACTCAAGACAACTGCCAATTGTCTGGAAATAATTCAACATTTTTGAATCCCATAATGCACAGCACCAAAGTGTCTAGATTTTTGTAGTTATTATAGTAATAAGTTTTTATACCAATTATTTTGTAATAATAAGATATTTTTTTATTAAAATTAAATTTGTTTTTTTTATGATTTCCATTTTACATAGTTTTTTGGAAATACATAAACCTATTTTTGTACTAGGTTCGAATTTTAACATTACTGAACCGATAAATGTCAAAATTTAACAATTTTATTTCTTATCTGTTTTTTGTTTTCAATTTTTTCAATAACATTAAATTTTAAAATTAACTTATCGTCGATTGTCATTTTATTAACCTATAAACATCAAAATTTGACATTTTCTAAAATTTTTGTCTGGAAATAATTCTTAATTTTTGTTTTTTTTCTCTTATTTTTCCTACAAAGTTAAATTTTTAAATTAACTTTACGTCGATTGTCATTTTATATATTTTAAACGTCAAAATTTGAAAATTTCCACAATTTTCATTTAACTTCATTTTTAAGAGATGCATAACCTTATTTTTATCCTAACGGCCTCACTGAAACTCAACTGTCATTTTTATAATCTATAAATGTCAAAATTTGACATTTTCCATAATTTTTACAGATACATAACCTTATTTTCTACCAATGTAAAATTTTAACGTTGACTTAACCTCAACTGTTATTTTTATAGTCTTTAACGTCAAAATTTGAAATTTTCCATGATTTCCATTTTACAAGATTTTTTTTTGATACAGAAACTACCAATGTCAAATTTTGAACATACAAAACTCAAAAGTTGTAATAATAAAAGATACTTTTATATATATAATTTTTTTATTAAAATTAAGCATTTAATGCAGCTTAAAAAATAGAACAATAATAATAATTAATATACACAATGTAACACTCTAAAATACCTCTTACAATTAGGAATGATAAAATATGTTAATACTTTGAAGTTTATTTGATTTCATCACCTAATAGATCATCATCTAGATTGATATCCTAGAAAAGAAAAAATGCAAAATTTTGTGTTAAATCATTTTTTAGGTACTCACTGAAGTATCAATGTTATCATCTATATTAACTCCTTCAAGATCTAAGTCTAACTCGTCATCATCATCCTGGTCTAGGTTTAATTCCGCCATCTTGCTAACAGGTGGAATCCTATGAAAAAAATGTAAATTACATCGAAAATTAACCCCGAAAAAAACTCACATAGTGTCGGGTCTGGCATCACTACTCAAAGCTTCCTCCAACAAATTCCTCTCCAAATTTGGCTTGACGCTCATCGCCTTCGAGGCTAAAACCGCTCTATTCGTCCTTTTGAAGTGTTTTTCGGCTTCTATGGCCTCCTGTAGGCCCGGGAACAAGTTCTCGTAATCATTGGGATCCGCCAAACTCTGCCCGGCTTTTTCATTGGTCTCCGACAACTTTTCCCGCCACATTTGCACCACCTCCGAAATCTTACTCGGCATGTAAGAACGCGCGAAGAAAGCCGCCTCGGGCAGTCTACCGGTGGACACCAAGATGTCCAGACACTTATCCAGGTCGCCCAGCATGAAGAACGACAAAAACGAGAGGTTGTTTTTCCCCTCGGCTTGACAACTTTCCCCGAGACTTTTAACTAGCTCCGCGTCCCCAGAGCTAGTGCTGAGCAGTAGTAAACCGCCGTAGTCTTGAGCTTTCTTCATACATTCCTTGGCGAGCTCTAAGTTGTTTGTAGAGGCGGCCAATTCGCCTAGTTGCGTCCATTTTTGTTGGTTGTTGGCCTCTTGCGCCAATATTCTCGCCGTGTTCAAGTCTTCCAACGCTACGGCCAGCTCGAAGCGGTGTTCTGGGTCCGTGCTCACAGCCAAAGCTTGTTGTTTAAACCCTTGCTTCTCCAAGAAATGCGCCACCCTGGTTCTGTGCTCTTTGGGTATAGATGGCAGCACTCTATCGGCCGTACCGAAGTCTCTACGCATAACCGCGGTTTGATACTCGAGCACCGACAAAAGCAGTTGGTAACTGACCACGCCCAACTCTTTGTCGGCCAAATAGAGGCGATCGTCTTTAGGGACATATCCCAAGACGTACAGAGGCCTATCCAGGTGCGCTATGGTCACCAACTCCCCACCCACGAAGTAGTTAATCCGGTTAACCGAGTTGGTGTAGATAAAACAGTCGCCGACCCACAACCCGGTGCGCACGCTTTCAGCGACCTCGCCTAGAACGTCGAAGGCGCTCTCTACGCCATCTTCAGCCACTTGGTCGTTATCTTTAGCCAGCTGCACCTGATCCTGGTCGTAGGAGAGGATGTAGTAGCTATCCTCGGTGGCCAGGCACACCAAACGGCCCGAGTCCGACCAGTACACGGCCCTGGGTTGGATCTCGATGCGGCGGACCAAATCGAGCGTCTCCCAGTCGTAAAAGCTGAGCCCGGAAACGGATTTCACCCCAAGCAGGTAGCCACCGAAGATGCCTAAGTTACGAAACTTTGTTAAGTTTTATGGAGACAGAAGAAGAAAGGTTTATATGTATCAACCAGAAGGATTAAGCTTAATAAAAATCTTTATAGTCTAAAGCAATCTCCAAGAAATTTTAAAATCACTTGAATTTGCTAATGCAGATGATTATCCTTATGTTTACTATAACAAAGACATAAGTTTATTAATTTCTCTTTTTGTGAATGATGGACTTTTTGTAGGAACAAAAAAAGATAACATGATTGACATTTGAATAAACTGAATCAAGAATTACATTTGACACAGCTATTGACGTTAAATCATCATATCATATCCAATTGGAATGCAAATACAAAATGAATCAAATTTTGAAACGTTTTAAATGTGACAAATGCGAAATCTACTCCAAAGGAAAAAGGAATGATGAAAGATGAGCTGCTGTTGATAAAAATCCATGGATAAATGAATAAACATATTACAAAATAAAAGAAAAATCGTCAAAAAGCTGAATTTTGGCCTACCGCTAAAAAATTCATAACTTCGCCATTTTTCAATGTATTTTTATCAACATCAGCTTGTTTTTTTTGTAAAAATGTCGGCTTCACGAAAAAAAAATCAAACTGGAGTTATCCGTTTGATTTAAACATTTCCAGGACGATGTGTAAATTTTCGACCTCAATTTATATAAAAACGAATTTTTTAAGTTATAAGAAATTGCTAGATAGTAAAAGAAAAATTTAGAGGGCTCAAATACCTTTAATTTAAGGGCTTGTTTGACCAAATCGATCAATTAGATTTCAAGCTATACTCAAAAACATCAAAAAAACCTCCGAAAATTGAAAAAAAAAACAATTGAAAATTCATATTTCATAAACGCTTTCATAAAAAAAAAAATGAGAGTGATTTTAGTGTTAAGTGGGTCAAAATATGAACCTTTTAACTCTGTAAAACGACACGCAATTGTTTTCACAGTCGACAAATCTGTCAAACTCACCTTGAGAAATTTACTATTTAAACTAATTTAAACAATTGAGAACTTTACTATTCAAACTAATTTCTCGCTAAAACAATTAAATGAATTTGTGGTTATGTTTTTTCATTTAATCTGAAGCGCGGCTACGAACGCCATCTATCCAAATTAATCCAAAGTTGTACGAATTTTGATTTTCCGGCTGTTCCTTTCGGCTTTTTCAATGTATTTTTTATTTAAATCGCCCCTGTATATTTTTGACAGAAATACAAAACTCGTTGCATACTCACGGAGGAGTGGTGTAAATAATTATTTACTCTTTTGTCATTAGTTAAATATTGTTTCTGCAATTATTATACATCAACATTTACATCACATAGACGATGTTGATAAAGTTTTAGAAGAAAATAACGATAATTTAGATGTAGAAAATGAAGATTTAGAGGATGATAACGACGTCGAAGAAGATGTAGATGGTAAAACATCGCAGGAAGATGAAGTAATTGTTAAGGAAGACTCTATTATCACTTACTCTCTGCCCCGAAATCGGACTTGAAGTTCTTCTTCTCCTTGAAGTTCTTGAAAATCTTGACAGTGGTGCCGTTCTCCCTTATCGCGTACTCGCTGCTGTCCTGCGCCCACACGAACTCCTGCGCCGACCCGAACGCCTTGTTGCGCAGCGCCATCGCCGTGTAGATTATGTACTCGCCGTCACCGCAAACCACCACGAAACGCCCGTTAGGGTTGTGCTGGATGGTCTGCGGGTATATCTCGCACGCGCCCATGTCCTTGACGGCCACCGGAAGCCGCTCCCCGTCCCTGATCTCTCCCCCTAAGAGGGCAAAGTCCACTCGTTCAACAGCCCGCCAAAAACAAGCATTATCAATGTCCAGTTAAAGTTGCAGTTAGCTATCTCGCAGATGGACTAACTGGAACTCAACCAGAGATTGATAAACGTGTTGCATATACTTTCCTCGTAAGTCTTGAGACATTTTTGTTCTCCACCAGCGTTACCTGTTTCTCCAAAGTCTTCCCGAACATTCAAAAAAAAAAAAAAAACAAACCTACCTTCCGGTAACGCCTTCAGATTGGCCTGCTGCATCTCCGAGTGCCTGGCCCATATGATTTTGCCCCCGCTAGCGTCCATACTGACTGCCGGCTCCTCCCTACCCACTTTGACCATGATGCTACCCTCGTCGTAACCCAGCGCGACATTGTTGGAACCTTTGAGGCAACTTATAGCCCACACCCTCTCGAAACCGTAATTCAAACTGCTTTCCAGCCGATGAGTATTCGCGTGCCAGACCCTTACAGTGCCATCCTCACTTCCGGTGAGAACCACCGGAAGTTCCGGGTGGAAACAGACGGCGGTGACGTTGGAAAAGTGCCCTTCCAACGTTTGCACGCAAGTTTTGTTCTGGTAGTCCCAGATCTTCACCAATCTATCGTCGCCGCCCGATATCAGGTACGGTTTATCCCCGCCGTGATAATAATCCACGCAGTTGATGCCTTTCTCGTGCCCCTCGAGCGTGAAGTTGGCAGTGGATGCGCCCAGTTGCCACACTTTCAGAGTTCTGTCCAGAGACGCGCTGGCGAATGTGTTGTTATCTTTGGGATTGATCGCGATTTGCATGATGTAGTGAGTGTGACCCTCGAATGTTTGCTGACACGCCCAGGATTTGTCCCAGTTCCACAGTTTAATCAACATGTCATCTGCAAGAAACAACGTGCATTTTGTTATTCCAAACATTTCTCTACAACCAGAATTTCAATAGCCTTTATCGTTCGAGAGATGTGACGTCACAATTATCAAATTTCCAAGCTTGCTATTGGTTTAAATTCGCGCTGTTGTCAAGTCTACTCGAATATTTAACTGTCATGTCTAATTCAAAAATTATTGGGGTTTAAAAACCATTATTTAAATGTATATAAAGGTAATTTTTTAAACAACCGTCATAAAATTCATCTGACAACAATGTTATTAGTTTGATAAATGAATAACCTAATTTTGTAATTCCATATCATGTCATATACCAAATGTACAAAACTTGAATTTTATAATGTAAAAAATTCCAAAAAAGCATTTTAAAAATTTTAAATATTTTATTATGTGTCAAGTTTAATAAACGCTTGCTTGCGAGCGAGTGTTTAATAAAAACAATTTTATTTGTCAAAAAATTTGACATCTGTCAACTGTCACCCAAATTTAACCTCACTTTTTCCCAATTTAAAATATGCTTCAGCTTCAGCTCGTGACTAAAACACCATAAAGTCACAGCCCGTCAATGTAGGAGTAGATAAACAAAATTTTTAATTTTTTTTCAAAATTAATTGTGTTTTTTAATAAATGGGGATTAAAACCTTTGATTTTATGTATAAAAAGAAGTTTTTTGAAACAAACTATCATAAAATACATCTGACAACAATGTTATTAGTTTGAGAGATAAAAACCTAATTTTTCAATATTTAGCCCTGTTGTCAAGTTGCCTACTTTAAACTGTCATATGTCAAAAAAAGAGGTTAAGTTTAAAAATGTTTTTTTAACAATTGGGGTTTTTAATACTACCTTATTTAACTGTCATATGTCAACAAAGAGGTTATGCACAATACTCAAATTTTAAGATGTTAAAAATAGAAAGAATTTTTGAAAATGCAATATAAAAATTTAAAAACACAATTTTTAATAATTTTGTATTACTTATTTATTAAATAACCATTTAACCATTTAGTTTCTAAAAAATTATTAAAAATTGTGTTTTTAAATTTTTATATTGCATTTTCAAAAATTCTTTCCATTTTTAACCACTTAAAATTCGAGTTTTCTGCATAAAAGTTATTTAGCCCTGTTGTCAAGTTATTTAGCTCTGTTGTCAAGTTGCTTACTTTTAACTGTCATATCATATCATATGTCAAAAAAAGAGGTTAAGTTTAAAAACGCATTTTAATCATTTAAAAACACAATTTTTCAGTTCGGTTTTGGTTCTCGTGTCTGTCGGTTGCTCTATGAAAGAGTATTTGAAAAATAAGTGACTTCTCGACCCAGGAGAGGCAAAATCGGACTCCCAGTGTAAAAACAAACTGGTTTTAACCAAGAATTTGCAAAAATATATGGAAATACTTAAGAGATGGATCGGATGATTGAAGATTAAAGATAATTGGAAAATTCTGTGTATGAAGCCATGTGTACATAGTGAAGCGAAAAGATGACATGGTTCTATAAAATTTTATAAATAATTAACAATATAGAAATGATTCAAGGGATGAGTTAATCTCAGATTCTTTTAAATAAGACCCTTGATCATAATAAAGAAAATTTAAAAATATAATGTGCTGGCCAAATAGCTTTTAAATTAAGCTAAAGGTCACAGAATTGTGTTCAGAATTAAGAAGAAGAAGAAGAAGAAGAACACAATTTTTAATTTTTTTTTAACAATTAGGTTTTTTAATACTTCATTATTTAACTGTCATATGCCAAAAAGAGGTTATGTACAAAACTCGAATTTTAAATAAAAATAGGAAGAATTTTTGAAAATGCAATATAAAAATTTAAAAACACAATTTTTAATAATTTTTTAGAAACAAATGGTTATTTAATAAATAAGTAATAATGGAGATGATTTATCTGTCAAATTAATTATTTTTCTTATGTCTTTTATTTAGCCCTGTTGTCAAGTCGCCTACTTTTAACTGTCATATGTCAAAAAAGTACCAACTCTAAAAACGCATTTAAAAAATTTAATAACACAATTTTAATGTTTTTTTTTAACAATTGGGATTCTTAATACTTCATTATTTAACTGTCATATGTCAAAAAAAGAGGTTATGCACAAAACTCGAATTTTAAGAGGTTCAAAATAGAAAGAATTTTTGAAAATGTATTATAAAAATTTAAACACAATTTTTCATAATTTTTTAGAAACAAATTGTTATTTAATAAATAAGTAATGATGGGGATGATTTATGTGTCAAATTAATTATTTTTCTTATTTCTTTTATTTAGCTCTGTTGTCAAGTTGCCTACTTTTATATGTCATGTCAAAAAAAGAGGTTAAGTACTAATAGTAGAGGATCCCAAGTAAGGTCGACCTTCACCCATCTGCTTACCAGATGAAAATTATATTTTATCAAATAAAATATGTTTCTGAACATAAACCAATAGGGTTGCCATAAAAAATATGATCAAGGCTATCTATAATAAATAAAAAACTAAAAAAAAATAATTAATTTTTTAAATTTCACCGACTTGCTTGCCAAATGAACGAAATTCCAATGGAAAGCATACAACATACAGAATATGTAACAGCTAGGTTGCCTACCTTTTTCTGGTCCCTATTACCTGGTTGCTTTGTACAGGGTGATCCCCTATAAAGTCGCCCCCCTTTAACTTTTTTATTTTAAGTGTCCCAAAAAATTTAAAAGTTTGGTTATGTAGGTACTAAAAAATACTTTTTTTCTACGTATAAAGAAAATTGGAAAATTGATCAGTATACAGGGAAAAACAAAAAGTTTATTTTTTTTCAATGGATCACCGTATATATGAATTTATTTTTCGATTCCTTGTAAAATTCTGAGCATAATTTATATAACAAACCATATACCTAAATTCAACCGTTTCTGAAATATTCGCATTCGAAATGTCATCATTAAATGTTTTTTTAAACTGTTAGAAATCAAGAAGCCTCAGTATACCAAAATTTTTATTGAAAATAAATTACTATAGTGAAATTATGTCAATAAGTGTTATTAAATAAGTAAAAATGGCGTACTCAGACAGAGAAAGACAAACTATTTCAACTTATTATCTTAAAAATAATTTAAATATTTCAGAAACGGTTGAATTTAGGTATATGGTATGATATATGAAATATGCTTAGAATTTTACAAGGAATCGAAAAATAAATTCATATATAGGGTGATCCATTGAAAAAAATAAACTTTTTGTTTTCCCTGTATACTGATCAATTTTCCAATTTTCTTTATACGTAGAAAAAAAGTAATTTTTAGTTCCTACATAACCACACTTTTAAATTTTTTGGGACACTTAAAATAAAAAAGTTAAAGGGGGGCGACATTATAGGGGATCACCCTGTACAAAGCAACCAGGTAATAGGGACCAGAAAAAGGTAGGCAACCTAGCTGTTACATATTCTGTATGTTTTATGCTTTCCATTGGAATTTCGTTCATTTGGCAAGCAAGTCGGTGAAATTTAAAAAATTAATTATTTTTTTTTTAATTTTTTATTTATTATAGCTAGCCTTGATCATATTTTTTATGGCAACCCTATTGGTTTATGTTCAGAAACATATTTTATTTGATAAAATATAATTTTCATCTGGTAAGCAGATGGGTGAAGGTCGACCTTACTTGGGATCTTAGACTATAAACTTAAATTTAAAAACAAGATTTTTCATGATTTTTTTAGCAATTGCGATTTATAATACATGAAATACATCTGAAAACAATGTTATAAAATAAAGAGTTTAAATTATAACAAAACTTACCACTACTGGTCAAAATATATGGCTGCGTAGGATGTACAACAATGCATCTAACATAATCAGAATGCGCCTCAAAGGCGTGCACCCTATCCAAGGTATTATAATTAAAAACCCTTATTTGCATGTCATCCGAACCACTTACAATCCAATTCTTGCGAGGTACAAACTTTGCTGCCCGTACAGGCAAATCACACACTTCGAACGTCTTCACCAGCTGCTGGCTTTCGATGTTCCACACGTTTATGTTGCCGCTGTACAGGCTGCACAACATCCAAGGCTCCGTAGGGTGCAAATCCACGCATTTCACCCTGTCTGATCTAGCCGTGAGCCTTCGCTTAATATCCAACCTTAGAGGCTAAAACATGTCAAATTAGGTCACTTTATGCAGGTATTTTAAGTTGTGTGTGTTTTACCATCGTTGTTCGTGGCGTTTTCTTTTATATTTTAAGTATTTTCTTCAGTTTGACACGAAAAACAAACACATCAGCCGATCTGTCAAATCTCAAGACGTGGCTGAAAGTACCAACCCAAAGGAAAGTAATGTTTTAATTTTGTCACGTTGGCGTTCTGAATTGCAGGGTTGTCAGATGAGGCGATTTTGAATAATGTTTTCCGCTTATTTTGGCTGTAGGCGATTATCGTACAAATCCATCTGGCAACTCTGCTGAATTCTTATTGGATAAAAAAAATTCAAAATAAAACCCAACTAAAATAAAAGTGTATTTATTTTTTAAAAAGTTTCACATTCCATACAGATTCGTCCTCTTATAAAATATATGTAACAGATAGAAAGCAATAGCAAAAATATTGTTTATAAATTCTATCCTACATTTACAAAATAATTATTATTAAAACGCGAGATGCCCGCTGACTTGACGTGTTAACCAACAAATCAACATACATACATTTCCAGGGCCGGCCTGGGTTTCTTAAATAATACGTTTCTCCGGCATTGGACTGCGTTTTGGACATGCCATAGCGCCGTCGGAGCCCAAAGTGTGGCTGGACAGCCACACTCCGCAAGTGGAGCACAGCATGGAGTCTGGATCTAGAAGGCTGGATCGACGGCGGGAGTAGCCCTCGTCCATGGAAGGATTTCGGGCGTCTTCTTCTTCTTTGGTGGCAATGCCGATGTTCTTGGCTTGGATGTTTGAACCGATTCTCGAAGACATTTTGGACGATTTGTTGCTTTCACTGTGACGTTCGGATTTGAACTGATGCCTTGTTGGCGCGTTTGGCTGCTTATATAGGCGCCGGGCCTCCTAGATAAATTTAAGGAAACACAAACATGTTGATGTTTACAATGCATTGCATTTGGAATAGTAATAGTGCTAAATTAAGGTGAGCTTTGATGAAAATTAAAAACATTTTAAAGATGATAGTTGAATTATCCAATTTAACCGAAATGGTTCTTTTTATACAATTTAACTAAAAATTATACAAAAATATTAATTAATTTACTTAAAATCAAAAACTTTTATTCAACTTTTTAAGAAAATTCGCTAATTTTTTTCGTAATTTTGTATGATTTTAATTTACATATGTACATAAGTAATATTGAATTAATTTTGAGAGTTTTTAAATTTTCAAGGAAATTTCAAATTTTGGATTTTTATAACCTTATTTCTTACCTTTATAAATTTCTTGTAAAATTTGAATATTGAAATGTGGGAAAATTTTTGATTTTAAAAATTTCGTTAAATTCACATTTTTTTCAATTTTTTGAGGTTTTCAAAAAATTAATATTTTAAAAATTTATGATTAAAAAAAATAATTTAAAATTTTGTAAAAATAAACAAAATTTTCAAATTCCTAAAATTTTGAATACTTTGAAAATCCTAAAAAAAATTAATTATTTTAAAAATTTCGAAAAAATTTAAAACACAGAAATTTTGAAAAATGTTATTACCTACTTAGTAAGTAGTACCTACTTACCTACTAAAAATTTAGATTTTAATTTTTTTTTGTAAAATTTTGAAGAAATTTACACCTTTTTTAAAATTTACAAAATTTTGAGAAAATTCTTTTTAGTAAAATTTCTAAAGAATTTTGGAATTATTAAAATTTTGAAAATCATAAAAAAAATTGAAAATTAATTTTTTTTAGAAATATGAAAAATGTCGACAATTTCTCAATTTTGTAAAATTTAAATTTTTTTGCAAAATTTGAATATTGAAAATTCTGAATTAGGAATTTTAAATTTTGGAAAGAGGTAAACCAAACCAAAATTTTGTTTGAAAATTTTGAAATTTTATTCTTTAAAATCCTAAATTTTGAAAATTTTCAATAAAATATGTCAAATTAAGTCACTTTATGAAGGTATTTTAACTATGTATGGTTTTAGCATCGTTGTTTATGGTATTTCCTGTTATATTTTAAGTATTTTCTTTAATTTGACAGGAAAAACAAACACATCAGCCGATCTGTCAAATCTCAAGAGGTGGCTGAAAGTACCAACCCAAAGGAAAGTAATGTTTTAATTTTGTCACGTTGGCGTTCTGAATTCCAGGGTTGTCAGATGAGGCGATTTTGAATAATGTTTTCCGCTTATTTTGGCTGCAGGCGATTATAGTCCAAATCCATCTGGCAACTCTGCAGAATTCTTATTGGATAAAAAAATTCAAAATAAAACCCAACTAAAATAAAAGTATATTTATTTTTTAAAAAGTTTTACATTCCATACAGATTCGTTCTCTTAAAAACTATATGTAACAGATAGAAAGTAATAGCAAAAATATTGTTTATAAATTCTATCCTAAATTTACAAAATAATTGTCATTAAAACGCGCGATGCTCGCTGACTTGACGTGTTGACCAACAACCGACATACATGCATTTCCAGGGCCGGCGCAGTGGTTTCTACTGCCCGCCTGGGTGTCTCAAATAATAAATCTAACGTTTCGGCGGCTTAGGACAATCCATTTGGCCCAAAGGGCCCAAAGTGTGGCTGGAAAGCCACACTCCGCAAGTACCGCACAACATGGAGTCTGGATCTAGCAGGCTGGATCTACGGCGGACGTACTCCTCGTTCATGGAAGGATTTTGAGGCTCGTCCTCTTCTTTGGTATCAATACCGGGGTTCTTGGCTCGCTGATCGGACTGTACGATTTTTGAACCAAATATTGAAAACATTTTGGACGATTTGTTTTTTCACTGTAACGCTCGGATTTGAACTGGTGCCTTGTTGGCCCGTTTGGCTGCTTATATACGCGAAGGGCCTCCTAGATAAATTTAAAAAAACATAAACATATTGATGTTTACGATGCATTGCTTTTAGAATTGTAATCGTGCTAAATTAATTTGAACTTTGATAAAAATTAAAAACACTTTCAAGATGATAGTTCAATTATCCAATTTAACCGAAATGGTTTTTTTTATACAATTTAACTAAAAATCATACAAAAATATTAATTAATTTACCTACTTAAAATCCAAAACTTTTATTCAACTTTTTAAGAAAATTCGCTAATTTTTTTCGTAATTTTGTATGATTTTTATGTACACACATAAGTAATACATAATAATTTAGAATAATATATATAAATATGTACTTATATAGGTACCTTTAATATTTATAAATATTAATATACAAGGTGTTTATGTATATAAAGTTTTTTTACAGTCTTAAAACAATTTAAAAAAAGTTACCCCCTTAAGGGGATGAAATTCCAGGAATGCACTATCAAAATTTTAGCCTTTCTATACCCAAAGGTGTAGCGGTTTGGTTTGGGCGTTGCGGACATGTAATTTTATATTATTATATTTATGGATGTATACAGGGTGTCCCAAAAGTCATAGACAGCAGGGTGGTTTAGTGATAATATTAAAGACGAAAAGTCCTTTGGGTTTTTCCGATCTGACGAACCCTTAATTAGTTTATAAATAGTAGTAGTACACAATAAAACTATAACGTTTATTTTAAACGCATTTCTTGCATATTTTCGCACCATAAACAATAACAAAGCATCAAAACAATCTTTTTTGGAACCTTTATGCTTTCGCCAAAGCCATGAATAGAAACTTTGGTGCGCAGTATAAACTTATTTATAATCTGCGGTCTGGCGAGCTACTACGACACCGGATATCCCATCAAACAATTTCTTCCGCTGACAAACTATGCCAACAAGTTTTTGGCAAGGACACTATGATATATTGCCCTTGACCTATGCCTACTATTTTGAAATGCGTTTGCGTTAAAAACGCTTTAGAATTAGAAATACCACGTCGACGTATTCATCTTTTTTGCAATTGTTGAGTTTTTATTTCTTAAAATTTATTTTATATTCGTTATATGACATTTATTTTCCTGGCTATTCTTGTATAATATTATACACATACCATTAGAATAAAAAACTTACAGCTATACAAATTTTTAAATTATTTAATAAACAAATTAAATAATTTTGAATATAATGATACACCTAATGTAATAAAAAAATAGTTTATCTTGCTTAAGCAATTATTTCAAAAAAAAATATTTTTTTTCAATTGGACAATCTACATATGTACATAAGTTTTATACTGCTGCCATTGCATTTTACCTGGTTTGAACAGCCTGCGTTTAATATCCAACTATTTGGCAGTGTTGCCAACTCCTTGAAGTAGCTATGCACTATATAGCAATGAAAAATGCACTAGAAAAGCACCAAATTCACTTTGGTGTAAGTCCACCCGATCAGTAATCTATGCAGTAGTCTGAATTTCACTCTAGATGAACACAATGTAAGTATGAATTAGCAACCATAAATAATTTCAAAATTAAACTTTATTTTAAGCATAGGAAATTCCACACTGGTAAGCCATTGCTTTAGGGCAGGGTCCTTTAGCCACACTGCTCGACATTGTTGCTCATATTGTGGTTCCGGCATCCAAAAGTTTAAAAACAATAAAGCGCTGTTAATTAATCACTATAGAACTAGACCATACCATAGAAAAGAATATACTATTCCATAGAATAAGATTATACCATACTAGACTTCTTTTGTTTTTTGAAACAAACATAGAAAAATAATACATCGAAACAGAGGTTCTGTGAAAGAATTCAACAATCAAGCCAATCGCAGAGCAGCGCAGTATAAAAACAATAAAGCGCTGTTAATTAATCACTATAGAACTAGACCATACCATAGAAAAGAATATACTATTCCATAGAATAAGATTATACCATACTAGACTTCTTTTGTTTTTTGAAACAAACATAGAAAAATAATACATCGAAACAGAGGTTCTGTGAAAGAATTCAACAATCAAGCCAATCGCAGAGCAGCGCAGTATAAAAACAATAAAGCGCTGTTAATTAATCACTATAGAACTAGACCATACCATAGAAAAGAATATACTATTCCATAGAATAAGATTATACCATACTAGACTTCTTTTGTTTTTTGAAACAAACATAGAAAAATAATACATCGAAACAGAGGTTCTGTGAAAGAATTCAACAATCAAGCCAATCGCAGAGCAGCGCAGTACTACATTTATAATCTGTGATACTACCCTAAACCAAGTTTAGGGGTACTACCACCA